AACTTCTCTTACAGAAAGTGGGAAGAAGATTGATATTTGGAAAAGGCTATCAGCTGAAGGATGTGAATACAGATGAGAAACGAAAGAAGATAAGAAAATTCAAGGAGTCAGCCTGGAAATGTGTTTACTTTCTTTCTGCAGAGCTGTTGGCTCTATCTGTTACATATAACGAGCCTTGGTTTACTAGCACCAAGCATTTTTGGGTTGGACCAGGAAATCAGGTCTGGCCTGACCAACGAGCTAAGTAAGTTCTCAGTGTTGTTATCTCTTATGGTTGAGTGTCTAAAGTATCACGACTCTCCATAATGGTATGATATTGTCCACTTTGAGCATAAGCTCTCAAGGCTTTGTTTTGGGCTTCCCCAAAAGTTCTCGTACCAATGGAGATGTATTCCTTACTTATAAACCCATGATCATTCCCTGAATTAGCCATTGTGAGACTCCCTCCCAACAATCCTCTCCTCGAACAAAGTACACTATAGAGGCTCTTCGGAGGCCTATGGAGCTCTCGAACAGCCTCCATTTAATCGAGGCTCGACTCCTTTCTCTGGAGTCCTCGAACAAAGTACACCCTTTGTTTGACACTTGAGTCACTTTTGACTACTTCTTCGAGGCTCACAACTTCTTTGTTCAACACTTGAGGACTCTGGTGACATGGCTAAGTTTAGGGTATGGCTCTGATACAATGTTAGGAATCACGACTCTCCACAATGGTATAATATTGTCCACTTTGAGCATAAGCTCATATGGTTGTACTTTGAGCTTTCCCAAAAGACCTCGTACCAATGGAAATGATCATTCTCTAAATTACCCGATATGAGACTCCCTCCCAAAAATCCTCAACAATTAAGTCCACCATTATACACTCATATGTGTCTCTGTTACAACAAGTTTTCGTATAATCATTATAAAAAGGCCAAGCGTTACGCAAAAGTATCAGGACTAAAGTTGTGTTTTGACCAAGAATCTATTATTTAGAACATTTCATGAATAAGAACTTTTATGTTTCAGGTTGAAATTGAAGGGATTATACATGTATGCAGCTGGGTTTTATACGTATTCCATATTTGCTTTGAATTTTTGGGAAACAAGACGTTCTGACTTTGGAGTGTCCATGAGCCACCATGTGGCAACTCTCATTCTCATTGTGCTTTCCTACATTTTTAGGTACTTCCTATCTTTTATTTATATGCTATTTAAGCCGTTGTGTTGCATTTTGCTTTTGTTGGTATGTTATATAACATTGTTTTCAACTTTCAAAATCTCTATGCCCCGTTTTCTAAAACCTTCTTCTCAAACCGGGGCCAGAGGCTTGAGCATACGTTGCTCAGCCGCAAGCGACGCAATCTTAAGTTGACTTGACTCACTCAATGCTGAGAGTGAGTGCCGCACAATCGCCAAATCCACTACCAAGAAAAGTGCGATTGTGACGGTGACTAATTACATTGTACGTCGTTCTTGTAGATTTGCTCGTGTTGGTTCTGTCGTTCTCACTCTTCATGATGCAAATGATGTGTTTCTTGAGATTGGGAAGATGTCCAAATACAGTGGCGCTGAGACATTGGCTAGCATTGCATTTATACTCTTTGTGTTGTCTTGGTTGCTATTACGTCTCATCTACTATCCATTTTGGATCCTTTGGAGCACAAGGTTTGTAACCTCATATCAATTTAACTCTTGAGAGGAACAAGTTGCTATCCATTATCTTGTTGTCTGATTGTTCTTCCCCATTTTATCTCAGCTATGAAGTCCTCCTTGTATTGAACAAGGACGAACATCCCATTGATGGACCAATCTACTATTATGTGTTCAATACTCTTCTATTTTGCCTCTTAGTTCTTCACATATATTGGTGGGTGCTAATTTACCGAATGCTTGTTAAACAAATCCAATCTAGAGGACAGATTAGTGAAGATGTTCGTTCAGGTAAGATTATATAAACGATTAGTGAAGGTTTTTCATTCGAGTTTTCATCCCGTCACGCTCACCGTTTGTTCGGCTATGCAGATTCTGAGGGCGAGGAAGAACACGAAGATTGATGAGGAAGAATCGATGCAGAAAATTGTGTTATATACATGAAAGGTTTGGCATAAATCTTAAACCATTTGGATGATCCTACAAGAAACAGAAACTGGCATCTGCTGCATGTGATTATGATTACAGAAACTAGATCAAAACTGTTCTTAGTTCTAATGTCAATAACTTAAAATTCATTAATACTTGTGGATTGCTAGTGAGTATCCATGTTGGTTTTCTGGGCAGCAGATGAGATAGATAGATAGAGATTAGCCAAAACAAATAGTTGGGTCTGGGATGTGTAGATGAACGATCGAATGAACGAACGAACCGTGTATCGCATCATCGATACATTCCAGGTAAGAGAAGGGTTGGCAGTTGGAGGAATTTGAATCTTGATTATATATTCTTTGTCATTTACTGAACCATTCATTGAGTTGGATGATGAACAGCCAGCCATTGTGTTCATAGTGAACTGAATTTTATGTTCATGCTGTATTTGTCTCTGTTTATTAATGTGAAACTGCCCAATTTCTTGTACAAACATTACTACAATTTTAGATTCAGATGTTCTAAGACAGTTTTTGTTCCATGATTGATTACTAAACGTGTTTGTGTTTCTTGTTCTTCAATAGAAAAATTAAGAGACTCGTGGCACAAATTTTAGGGACAAAAATGTAATTTTCTATTTTATTTAGACAAAAATCAAAATAAAAATTAAATTAAGTTTGAGTCATTTTGACGTAAATTTTTATCATTTTTAAAATTTTACATATGGCTATTACATTTAATTTTAAAATATCAAAAATAAGAATTTATTAACTGTAATTAAGATTTAGGGGTATTTTGGGAAAATAATAATAATTTCAAAATTTTATTAAATATTTTTTATATATTGGGGAAGGAAAATAATATATATATATTAGGTTCTTTAAAAAAGTTGAGAGAAAATAAATATAAACGTGTTGTCGCCATCGCTTTTTCTTTACTTCCGCAAAAAGAAACCTAAAGAGCTTGAAAGCACCGGGAGTTTCCAGTTGCAGAACCGATTTTCTCCGTCGACGGCCTCTCTTCCGGTTGGTACCTCTGTCTTCTTCTTCTCCTCCTCCTCCCCATCCTCCCCCTCTCTGTATTCTGTAGGTCAATTTAGATCTTTAATTTTCGATTAGCATTTCGTTAATCTGAGTGAGTAACCAACTGTAGCGAAAAACATATGTAATGTTATGTTAGACTCATATTTACGTCTGGAAATTTGCAATTGAGTTCAATTTTTTACAAATTTTAATTGGAACAACCTGGTTCTGAATCTAAGTTCGCTTTACTTTTCGTGTTCGGGAGCTTCATTTTGTAGTACCAGGATTCTCCAGTTTAAGCTTTGAAATCTGTTTATCTGTAAGATTTATTGTGTTGAGAATTTTTGTTTAGTTGCTTGTTATTTTCCGTTGAAAGACGATGGGTTTTTGTGATTGTGTTGAATGAATCTAATAAGGAGTTCAAGAATGTTATCTTTGTTGGAGATGCGATGCCTGCAATGGATTATTCACTTTTATGGTGTAGTTTTTTTTTGCAGGAACAAAATGGAAGACGTCCTAACGGAGATTCCTCCTCCTTCAAGGTTTTTTCAAGATGATCTTAACAGTTTCGCTCTTCCATCGCCTCCTCTTCCATCCCCATTTCTTTTGTTATCAAACTCTAAGGCTAATGAACCTCTCCGCCCCTCTCTACTTGTCATTGCCATTTCTTCCCCTTCTCTGCATCTTTTCCATCATTTATCTGCTAAAACCCTTATTGGAAGTCTCATCCTACCTGAAATTCCCTTCTCTGGAAACCATATCCAGCCCTCGGTTGATGACAAATCTTGCAACATTTACTCAATTAATCAAGATAATGAACTAATTATCCTCGTCTCCATTCAGTTTTCTGTTCCTGCAGAGCGATCTAACCTTGTTGCAAAGCTACTACTTGATAACAAAATTATTCCTGAGAGGGTTTTGATCTTGGATAGTCTTCAGAGCCAAAATTTTCGGGGCAAGCTTTCACCTGATGAAACTTTTGCTTTCAAGCTGGAGACCTCTTCTGAAATAAAGAGTCGAGATGAGGGTAATAGCGGTTCACTAATGTTTAAAGGCCTGGATTACTATCCATCAGGAAGTGTCGTAGATGGCTTGGCTGCTGCTTTGCTTGGACGTTGTCAGATGAAGAATATCAAGGGAGCCCTCTGTGTTTCATGGCCAGAATATGGAAGTGAGGTGATATCTCTGCTCAAATCTTTACTTCACCAAAATGTGCTATTGCAACCTACATTAGAATTTTGTACTGAAAGTAACAATGGGGATGAGTACCTGAACCGAATTAAGGACCTAGATTTATACACCTGAAAGAGTTGGGTTGTCAGGTTAGTAATATAAATTTCCTTGTATGGTGCACACTGTTTCTTCTTTCCTTTTCACTGTGCTCCAGAAAATGTTGAAATAGATGGTAACCCACGAGGTCATTAGTTGAGGGGAATGGAATTTTCAACCATTGCTTCTTAAAATCCATTTTCTAAGGCTATGGAAGGTGTTTCTGTAACTCTGTGTTAGGCTGTTAGCTAGCTAGTACCAATGATACATTCAGCTCGTTATCATGCTTGAGATTATAGTTATTCTATTGATACTAAAAGCTCTCTGTTTGTTATTTTAAACTAATGGCTCAAACCTGGTATGACTTCATCCTTTAGTTCTGTGTGTGCGTCTCTCTATAGAGAGAGAGGATTTCGACATGGACCGGTCCTTCAAGGACCCTGTCCTAGCGCTTTTTGAGCGACCCTTTCTTTTAGTTGGGCCTCTACAATTGCCCTAATGCGGGCTGGATCTCTTTCCCCGTACACATCCAATCGGGTTTGGGAGCCTCCTTGAGATCCATGTCCCACTAAGGGACTCAAGATTTAAAGAATGAAAGTCTTGTTAAATGTTTATGGACTTCTCGTGGAGGTGAGTAGATGTTGCAAGAATTTGAGAATTTATGCGAGTAGACTGGGCATCCAACATCAACTTACGATGCCTCAAACGCCACAACAAAACTACTCACTTCCTAAAATCTGTCAAAGTCAGCCTTAGTCGTGGAATCCAAACTTCGGTGTAAATTTCTATCCTCATACCAAGCTATGGTAGTTGTGGGACTACCGAGAAAGTACATAAACTTTGAGGGAATGGATTAGAACATGTGATTGCTACCTATAAAGGATATAAAAATTCTTCGAGTGCAATGTGCCCAACAGTTTCCATGCAATATCAAACATTATCATCATACATCTTATATTCAGACATAAACGACCCTTTATAGGTCTTCTTTCTAGGAAAAACGACACCAGAAAACACTTATGAACTATAGATCCCCTTTACCAGTTGGGTTTTGTTACAAACCAAATTCCCAATCTTCTTGGAAGAACTTTATACAAACGTTGATACAATTCCTTTTCTTTTCAATATTAATACTTCTCAATGTTCTATCCATTGATAATTAAACCAATATATGGCTTAACAGCAGAGCCAATCCACAGCCTCCCTCTACTTTCTTCAACCTCACTCACCGACTCCAGTGCTTGCCCATCCCCCCCATCAAGCATCCCTTTCACTGCCCCCCTCTCGTCTAATTTCACCGCCACTGGATCGCCCCGAAGCCACGGGATCTTCACCTCGCCGTGCTGCAATGTTACTCCCCGACTTTCCCCCGTCCATGTCTGAGTTTCGAGCTTCCCTCTTGCAGTGTTCATAGCGATCCAAAAGTCGCCATTGTTAGTCCTCTTTATGTTGTCTGGGAACCGTTCGAGCTCCGCAAATATCTCCGCGGTATGAGTTTTGGGACCCTTTTGTTAAGAACATAGCTCATTTAACTTTGAACTAAGTGTCAATATTACAATGAAAGCTACTTTTTATCACATTCATACCTTTAACCAGAACTTTAAGATTCGAAGAGTACCGGTTTCAGCCATTATAAGGAAGGAAGAATTGGTGCTCAAAGCGACGCCATTTGGGAAAGCAAGACCGTTGAGCAATACGGTGACATTTTTGGTGCGTAAATCGTACTTCAATAGCCTCCCGGTCTTGTCTCCTTTCATTATAGATGACACCCAAACCCTTTCCCCAAAAAATAATAATATTTATTATCATTTAAAAATAATAAATAAAGTCTCATAATTTGTCAAACACATTATATTTTATTTTTTATTCAATTTATAAGAAAAAAAAAACAAAAAATATAGGGAAAAAGACAGAGGAGAAATTACCTTCTTTGGAACAAGGTGCTGCTATCCGTGAAATAAACGGCGGCGTTTTGAGAGTCGATATCGAGAGCATTAGTGAAGCGGAGTGGGACGCCGTGGGCAGAAGAGGCAAGCTGACGAGCCAAGCCGCCGTGGGGTCCGACAGCCAAAAGGCCATAATAGGCATCCGCTATGTAAAGCTCACAGCTTGAGCTTGAGCTTGAGCTTGATGAATGGTCGAATTTTAGCCCTAATGGTCTTCCACACGCCGGCTCAGTTTCCGGCTCCCCATTGCATTCTTTTCCCTCCCTGGAAATTCCTCCACGTGGTTCGTTTTTTTTTTTTTTTATAAATAAAAAATAAAAATAAAAATAAAATACTGGGTACCTGTTGGGTGAGGTAACAGCAAAGAGAGTCCAGCCCAAAGCAGGACCTTTCCACTTCAGGATTCTGCCGTCGGACACGCCGGCGTACGGCCCTTCTCCACGGCAGTCGAAGGCGATGCTTTCTGGCCCGTAAACCCCACCGGGAAGGTGAAGCTCCTCTGCTTCCATGCTAGCTTCCAACAATGGAGCCCAACACACCACCGCCGCCGCCCACAAAGCCACCAACAATGGACTACAACAAACCGCCACACGCTTCTTCATTTTCCTCCCTCTCTCTATCTCCAAGTAAAACAGAAAATGGTCGATTTATATTTCCCATTGGAGTCGAGTTGATATTGGGTAACTGTCACCGTCTCACCCATCACAGTGTCTTATGATATTGGGTAACTGTCACCGTCCTTGTCATGGTAATATATTTCACAATGACTGAATTTGTATGTATATCATAATTGAACTTACTTAATTTAGCCAATTTAGCCCTAGGATCGTCCATTAGTTGAGCCATTTACCTCATGGACAACCCTAATAAATTCAAAAGGCACCAAAGTCTCGATAATCACTGACAGAAAAAGAGATTAATTGCTCCCTACCATGAGAAAATTGTAGATAGGTCATTTAAGGACCTATTTGAAATTTTTGTTCTCCACGTACCTACCCCTACCCCACCTGTTTCATTAATTTTTTATTCTCATCCAATAATATGGTCAAACCGAAGTCGAGATGTTCATTTCGACTTTCATCCAACACCTCCCCTCGAACAAATTATGTCTCTCCTTAATCTAAGGCTCGACTCTTTTTTTTTTTTTTTCTTTTTTCTTTTTTGAAGTCTTTTTTACTATACCTTTGAGGCTCACAATACTTTGTTCGACATTCGAGAATTTGCCAATCTATTGACTCTAATACCATGTTAGGAATCACGAATCTCTACAATAGTATGATATTGTCCACCTTGAACATAAACTCTCGTCGTGTTGCTTTAAGCTTCCCCAAAATGCTTCATACCAGATAGTATTCATTGAATAATAATAATATTGTTAAGAGTCCCAACTGCCAACCTTCCAACTTCTACTTACCATTTTCTTTCAAATTAATTATGATTATATATTGCTCAATTATCCTAAAACCTTTTTTTATTATTTTAAAATAGAAGTGAGTCAACCGCTCGAATGTGACAAGATTTCGACATTTTTGTTAATATCGACATTTTAAACTTTAACTCGGTCGTTATCATTCTACACTTTAAGATATTTATTGCGTAATTATTTTCGCTAATTAAAAATTCCTCTAATAGGTAAAATTGATTTCGATTTTCTAATTTATTCCATTTTAAATTCAATTTTATGTCAATTATTTATTTAATCAGAGTTTTTTATATACTACATGTTATAATTTATACATTAATGAAGAATTGTTGTTGCAGTATTAAAATATATTTATAGTTTACTCTATAAACTATCCATTCTCTATTAAAAAATAAAATATTTTTAAAAGAGTTCTAAAATATTTTTAAATTAAAAAAATTAAAAATACTATTGCCGTTTTTTTTTCCTTTTATTATTATTTTTTAAATAAAAACCTTTAATATTTTATTTTATAATTTATAAACACGTTAAAAAATCCTTACCGTTGGAACAAAATCGTTAGTAACACATTTCAAAAATACCCATAAACTTTCAAAGACGACATTGTTACCCTTAAACGGGTAGAAAATAAAAAGTTTTTACTATTAATACCATCAAAATTGAAAAGAGACAACAATCTATGAGGTATACTGTAATGTCCCACGTTGGTTGAGGAGAAGAACAAACCACCATTCACAAGGGTATGGAAACCTTCCTCTACTAGACGCGTTTTAAAGTGTTGAGGGGAAACCCAAAAGGGAAAGCCCAAAGAGGACAATATCTGCTAGCAGTGGGCCTGGGTCGTTACAAATGGTATCAGAACTAGACACCAGACAATGTGTCAGCCTTCTCGCTGTTTTCCGAAGGGGGGTACACACGAGGCGGTGTGCCAGTAAGGACGATGGACCCCAAAGAGGGGTGGATTTGGGGGTGGTCCCACATCGATTGGAGGAAGGAAAGAGTGTTAGCGAGAATGCTGGGCCTCGAAAGGGGTGGATTGTGATGTCCCACATTGGTTGGGAGAACCCCACCATTTATAAGGGTGTGGAAACCTTCCCCTCCAAAGGGGGGTGGATTGTGATGTCCCACATTGGTTGGAGAAGAGAACAAACCACCATTTAAAAACCTTCACGAAAAGTCGAGAATAGGACAATATCTGTTAGCAGTGGGCCTAGGTCGTTACAAATATAGATGATTACCGAGGATGTTGGGCACTGAAGGGGGTGGATTGTGATGTCCCACGTTGGTTGGATTGTGATGTCTCACATTGGTTGGGAGAACCCCACCATTTATAAGGGTGTGGAAACCTTCCCCTCCAGAGGGGGTGGATTGTGATGTCCCACATTGGTTGGAGAGGATAACAAACCACCATTTGAAAACCTTCACGAAAAGTCGAAATAAGACAATATCTGTTGGCAGTGGGCCTGGTCGTTACAAATATAGATGATTACCTTCCCCTCCAAAGGGTGTGGATTGTGATGTCCCATATTGGTTGGGGAGGAGAACAAACCGCCATATGAAAAACCTTCTCACGCATTTTAAAGCCTTGGGGGAAGCCCGAAAGAAAAGGCCCAAAGAGTAGATGATTAGTTTCTTGACGAAAATAATTTTGTAATATATATATATATATTATAAAAATTAAAGGGTGTTAATATTACTTTTAAAAGTTTACGAGCATGTTTGAGAACAAACTACCATTTGAAAAACTTTCCCCTAGTAGACGCATTTTAAAGCCTCGAGGGAAGCAAAAAGTCCAAAGAGTAGATGATTTTTATTTTCTTGACGAAAATAATTTTTTAATATATATATATTTATTTTTTTTAAAAAAATTAAAGGGGATTAATATTACTTTTAAAAGTTTACGAGCATGTTTCCCGTTCAAGAAAGAGTAAATTCATTCATTCAATCCTCTCGGTCGTAAACTCGGATAGTTAAAGGTTTTCGGTTTCTTCTTTCTTTGTTTACAGTTCAATCAGAGAGATAATTAGATTTGAGTCCCAAAACAAATGTTAGCGGACGGTGCGTGCTGCGTCAAATTATTTTCAATTTTTTTTTGAATGGGAAGTATTAATAAAACTTTTTAAAGTTTGATAACACAGAAGTATTATTGAAAATTTTAAAATATATTATGATGCATACAAAAACGCATTCGGTACAAGTGTATGGACGTGAGTTTTAAATATAATATATAGGTATTATTAGCTCGCTTGAGTATCATAAATATTAATGTTCGGTTTTATTTAGAGGTAGATATAAAATATTTAAGTTGGCTATTTAATAGCATTTTGGAACATTATAACGTTCGTCGGGGCATACTAATGTCAATAGAAGCTTATCGTGGTATTATAATGCTTATTAGGACACATCGTCTCAGTACAATGCTAATCGAGAACTCTCGAGCCTTACTAATGCTTTATGAAGACATTTCGAGCTGTAAGATGCAGTTGGCCTTTGTTACTCACTTGAACATGTTTATCGAGAACTAACCCATGAGTCAACTTTATAATCACGACATCTCGGACATCCGTCTATCCAAGTGCTATCGAAGTATGAACCCTCTCGTGTATATGGTTACTGTGTCAGAGCCTAACTCACATATCAACATCTAACTCAAAGAATGAGGTGCAATATCGTCACGCTTGTGCCACCTAAAACTGCCTTCAAAAACTCACTTCCAAAAAAAGACGTCGAGCACACTCATCTTGCACCATTAATATAGCGGTACAATTATTTAGTTAATTATTAATAGAAAAATATTCCTAATAAGATTTTTGTTATTTATAGAAGGATATTGTGAAATATGGGTGTGTTTTTTGAGAATTATGGGTTGAATAAACACAAAGGCATCAGCTTTTGTTGATGGAAGACGATTGGACAAAGGTTCCATTTGGCGTAATACAATTGGATAATAAATGCAAAAGAGAGGGAAAGTTGAGAGAGAAAATCAAAAGAAACAATTCCCTTTTGTACGAGAAAGCGGGAGATTAAAGATTTTTTTTTAATGTTTATTTCTTGTTTCTCACAGGGCGCCTCCATTTCCTGATCTCTCGTCCTGCCCATTTCCTCTGCGACTAGAAATCAGGTAATGTTATTCTCCCTCATTTTAGTTACCTTAGTGTGTGCGTGTGTGGCCACCGATTTGGTTTCTTAAACGTGATTGTTGAACTGTGTTCTTTTCATTATCCCCTCGAGATTCAAGTTACGCGAAATGGATTCATTTTTCATTTTTGGATCTATGCTTTCAGTGGGAGTTTGCCTTGTACACATTGTTATGAATCGGATCATTCGTTTTTGACGAGTGGTTGCTCTAACTAAAGCATTAACGAGCTATTTGCTTATGAATCTTAAATGGGTTATTGCTTTTAGGCTGTTTAGGGTATTGGAATTACCGGAATACATCTATGCTTTCAGTGGGAGTAGCCTTGTAAACATTGTTATGAATCGGCTCATCCGTTTTCGACGAGTGATTGCTCTAGCTAAAGCATTAACGAACTATTTGCTTCTAAATCTTAAATGGGTCATTGCCTTAAGGATGTTTAGTGTACTGGAATTACCGGATTACATCTACGCTTTCAGTGGGAGTTAGCCTTGTAAACATTGTTATGAATCGGCTCATCCGTTTTTGACGAGTGGTTGCTCTAACTAAAGGATTGACGAACTATTTGCTTCTGAATCTTAAATGTGTTATTTCCTTAAGGATGTTTAGGGTATTGGAATTACTGGATTACATCTACGCTTTCAGTGGGAGTAGCCTTGTAAACATTGTAATGAATCGGCTCATCCGTTTTTGATAAGTGATTGCTCTAACTAAAGCATTAACGAGCTATTTGCTTATGAATCTTAAATGGGTTATTGCTTTTAGGCTGTTTAGGGTATTGGAATTACCGGAATACATGTATTTTATATGTTCAAATACCTATTTCAATGGATGCATTGTTTTTCCTCGATTGGATACCGCGTTCTGTACTGCGGGAGCTTGTTTTGGTTGGGTTTAGTTACCATTTCTTTCCCATATAGCAGATTTTCCGGCGAGTTGATTGGTTTCTGCTACAAAATTTTGATCGTATTTTGAGGAAATGAGGTATATTGGTGCACATGGGGTTGCAACATTGCACAGATATAAGTACAGTGGTGTTGATCACT